TGAAGAAACGCCCGTGGTTCAAGAAGTGAAGAATTTAAGAGGCGGAGGGCTCCTCCTGCTTTCAATCAGATGTTGAGACGTAGTTGCGGTCTTCAGGGCTGACGCCTGCTGAGTGGTCCTTTACCCCTGGGACTCATTCTGGATCCCCCCTACCTTCATCCCACCCTTGAAGCCCTCAAGGGTTTCATGGATGAGGGCTTTTGCTTTTAGGGTTACGGTTAGCGCCGGCCCTCGGCCCTCCGCTTCTGTAGAGCGACGTGTGAGAAGTAGACTGCACTTAAGTTGGTATGGCTTGTCATAGTGCCACGCTCCCGGTTAAGACTTCGCAAACTTCAAAACCCAGGCGCCAAACTCGTCCAAAACCTACACCCCGTGCTGCACATCTCCAACCTGTCGGAACCAAGAGCCATGGAACAATGAAGTAGCCTGCGCCGACACGAATTCCCTTGGCACCAGCCCTACAGTACCTGGAGCATACTCCTTGCGTGGGATTGAAGGCACTTCTCGTAGGTACCTTTGGGGGTGTGGCCTGAAAACTTGCAAGACCCTGTAGTTACAAAATCCTGACCATCCAAGGTGCTTCCAAGGCAGTTTTCGAAGCTCTGCAAGAAGTGGCGGCACGGGTGGACTACCCTCAACCTGGGTATAAGCTGGGCTTCTGAAGGAGATATCGCGCTGTACAGGCCTACAGCTCGTGCAGGCTGGTCGGGTAAATTATTAAACGCGTGCTGCTCGCTGGGCACCTTACTTCTCACCTGACAACAGCTACGCTACGATCCTTGTGGAAGGCGTGAAATGCAAGACGCGGCTTTGACTCTGTGTCAGGAAGCGGTACTTCAGTCTTCGGAGTTTCACATCGGACTGGCATTCCAAGCTTATCGCTCATGGCTAGCTTGCTTGCTTGCTACACTGTTAGGATGGCACAGGAAGCCGTTCAACAAATGCACCAAATTCATCGGCTTAGGGTTTCCCTAGCTAAGAACCTATGATCGCACTGGAAGGCACACCTGATAAAGTTCGAAGCTTTCCATCTTTGTATGTGCATGCATACATATGCCATGCATATGCCTTTACCTACATGTACACGGGCACATAAACATACACATCACGACTGCATCAGCCCGCATCGGGTGTTTATGTATAGCAAGCGAGCAAGCAAGCAAGCAAGCAAGCATGCATGCATGCATGCATGCATGTATGTGTGTGTGTATATGTATGTATGTATGCATTTATGTATGTATGTATGTATGTATGTATGTATGTATGAGTATGTATGTCTGTATGTATGTATGTACGTATGTATGTACACACACGCACACCAAATATGAAAAATACCAGATATGGCAATGCAATAGGGGTTCCTCACTGACTGAGTAGCCTAGGTAGTCCTAGAAACAAACTATCCCTAACCCGGAGCCCAAAATGCTCGACAAATCTCATGGGCCCGGAGGACCTGGGATGATTCAGACTCACGAGCTTAGGGTGGAGCAAGGGCTTGAACCGTTAAGGACTCACCGTTTTTAGCTTGGGGTTCAGGTTTTGGAGGTCAGGGTCGGGTAAGGGAATGTGCGCTGCCCTGGACGCGTCATCTCCCACAGTTCGCACCAAGGCCTGCACGAGCCTCTGTTCACCCTGCGAACTCACCTATCTTCGACGGCCAGCGCAAATGTGAACAGCTGGGTCTGTTGCATGCCGAAAGTGGATGTGGTACCACAAGCTCACCTGAGCTGCTCAGGCACAAATCAAGATTACCATGTTGAGCTGCTCTCTTCATGATTAACGGCTCAGTCTCAGTCCTAGCTCTGCAACAGCATTCGCAAAAAAAGGCAGCAAGTATCCTTATGCAAGCATTGCCGGTTAATTAGTAAAGAGCTTGTACTAACAGCTGCGTCAGACCCCGTTGAAGTTGTAGGACATGCTACGGGCTGTGCACGGGTTTTGGTTGGTTCACCTGGGGCCATGCAGCAATCAGTGATGCGGACGGTCCAGTTTGGGTAGTCAGGCAGCCAGACCAGGGCCAAGATGCATGAGGTTGCAGATCTTAGTGACTGGTATGGCTGACACTGTATTGCAAAATACAGTCAATGTAGAAGGACTGCTGCCTGACTCAGGCAAATGGTGCCCAGTCAACCAAGGAAGTAGGCAGTACGTACCAAAGGTGGAAAACCTGGGCCCTGTGTTCCCGGAAAGCTCCAAACTCGGGCTTCCTCCATATTCTACCCACGACAACGATCACCCAGAGTCAAAGTCTGACAATCTCCTCGACCCTACTAATTACACACGAGCAGAAATGCTTAGTCTTCAGAGAACGAGTCCACCACCCCGACCTCAAAACCGAAATCAAAGAAGCACTTGGACCCCCGGCGGCGCAACCACAGCAGCCTGCAACCCAGCTAGTAGCCGCCTGGGTGCTACTACAGCAGCCACACTACTGACAAAGAGGTTCGGAATCATTCGCAATGGCAGCGTGCATTTGCGCAAACTTAATTTAAAAAAGTTGAAGACCGACTGGAATCATATGCTGCGTAGCTGGTGTGGCTTCTGGCAGATGAACGACTATCAGAGGACTAATTACTCAAGCTCCCTGGCTAAGCCCAGATAGGCCCTGGCAACCATAAAGTAGGAGTCCTTATTGTGGTGTATCTTACTCAAAAAAACAATCCGAAAACAACCCTGCAGACCCACACCCTGCATGCAAAGCCCTAGCAACCTACAAACTCCGGACCCAAACGTTGAACCCTAAACTCCGACGATGAAACAAACTCTATCCTAAAGCCTATAAGCTCCAAACCCATAGGCCTAAACTCTGATTCCGAAACCGTAAGCCCAAACCTTAAACCCGAGAAAACTAAGCTCCTTGAGCCGAATCCCTCCAAAGCCCGATGCTCGCTTTGAGCGCAACCCCTCCAACAAAAACTTCCATAACCCAATCTCCCGACATCCTTTTCGGCCTGAAAAACCTGAAGTTATCAACGTCTGTAAGCCGCAAGCCTACCACCCAGACAACCCATCGCCGTAAATCGACGAGGCACAAACCTTCTGATTCTGCCTTGTGTTTCTGTGCCCTGCACTCCAAGCCGAAGCAAAAAGCTCCGATTTCAGAACCCACTCGCAGAAAGAGGATATTGAACCCGACGATATCCTGAATACTAGACTCGGGCTTAGAGTTTAGAGGAGTTTAAGGCCTGTGTGCCTAAACCCTAGACTCCCAGACGCTGCAGAGCTTTTTTGCGCGATGCAACCCCAACCCCTTGGCATCTCTCATCTCAGACAGGTTCTTCCTTGCCTCTCGCTTTCTGTATGAAACCGCGAAGTTTCAAAGGACTTGGGTGTACCGTTATGAGGCTTCGCGTTTAGGGCTTAATTACTAGGGCGCATGACCTCCGAAGGCACGTGAGAGAAAGCGTGGGTACCATGGCAAGTGGCAAGACCGAACACATTCACCCCGAAAAGCGGACAGGTGGGTGTGCATGTTGCGCGGCGCACGCCAGCTCAGAAACCATCTAGAAGAAGGGCAAACTTTCATCACGAGTCGTTGGTGGTACTCATCAGGAGTCCAGTCCCATGCACACCTGCTAATCCAGGACAGCCCTCGCTGGATGGCTGTACATTTGCCCGTGGCCCGAGTTTTGGCTGGGAGGCTTTCGATTGCACGGCATGGCCGCGACTCTGAGCCTGCTACCGGAATGACTGTAAGCATACTTGTATACATATTCATATAAACATAACATACATACATACTCGCTTTTCTCGCTTTTGGGGGCGTTGAGGTCCGATGATACATACATACATACATACATACATACATACACAAAGTCATATATATATATATGTATATGGATATGCATGTGTACATATAGCCTAACTGTACTTATATATAGACACAAACATACACATACATCCACATGCATACACGCGTATCCATATCCCTATCCAGATTCATACGCATATCCATGTCCTGTAAGCACATATGCATGGGCGTGCAGGCATGGTCACATAACATAGTGCAACATAGCACAACATGAAGTAACATCACAGCACATTATTAAAGGCACCGTACAGTACATAATAGTATGTTTTCCGCGCTTCATAAACTAACTTGACATCACCTTACAACATGCCATCGATTTGTTGTGCATAAACATACATACATGCATACATACATACGTACTTAGTTTGCTTACATATCACTTGCTTGCATACCTACATACATACGTACATATACTCACCTACTTATTTACTCGCTGCCTTACCTGCCTACTTGCTTCCCTGCCTCCCTACCTACATACCTACGTGGGTAACCAGCGGCACGCACGACAAACAGACCTGCATACGTACAGACATGCATAACATACATGCATACATAAAGACATACAGACTGACTGTATTGAAACGGTGCCATGCTCCGATCTTTCGTTCCCACTGTTCATTCGATTGTATATCGGCTGCTGGCACCACTCGAACCAGATCCCCCTTTCCCCATAACAAAAACAACAAAGCAACGAAACCCAAACCCCGTAGAACGTAAAGCTCCAAAGCATTTAGACCCAAATCCTGAAGCCTAAACCGTAACCCAAATCCTAAAGCCGTAAATTGTTAATCCCAGGCGGAACTTCGGGCCACGGGTTTCTCAAAGACTTGCCTCACGGGCAGGGACTAATCTAGGCCCTTTGCAAAGGAGCCCAGGGACCGAGTCTTTGGGGCTTTACGTTTCAGGATAGGATTTATGGTTTAGGGTTTAGTGCGTTTTATATGGTTATAAAGCGAAAAGGATTCCAACAGGCGACGAAACCTGTAGAGAAGAGATCCTCGAACCCCAAACGCTTAGAAGCCTTGCCACAACCGAAACCCTATGAATTCAAAGACAAACGCTAACACCTAGGACTAGGGTTGACTTGGGGTATCAAGGACTCTTCCTGGGGTTCCTCTATGTGGCACAACCTTTGGCAGGTTGGTATGCTTCTCTGGGTACCATACGTACAGAAAGGAGATCGCCAGTCTCACCTGCACTGCAGCAGCAGTGCATGTGGGTTCAGGGCTAGAGGTTGGGGTCAAGATCGCGATTTGGGGCTGGGGCTTGGGGAGCAAGCAGAGTTTTCAGGATGCATTCGCCACGAAGTGCTTAACTTGAATTTGCGATGTTGAATGTAGGAGGAGTTCAACTTGTGGTGGCAGTGGGTGACGTTCCAAGTCTAAGCCGAATGCATACGCACGTATGTCTTGTTCCGGTTGCTAGCACTTAACGAAGAAGAGCGATACAGACGCTGGCTAACCTTGGACTCGAACAACGGCACGGATCTGGATTCATGTCTCGCGGTGTAAGCGTCAAGGCTCAGGGTTACGTTGTGATCTCTTGAATCATGGCTGAGGGCGAACACTTGCACATCAAAGCCTGCCTCAACCACTCAATACTTCGGCGTTCTCCGAGCGAATTTGCGCTGAACAGACTAGATGCTGGGTCCTTTGTTGGTCGACGGTGATAAGCATGTCAATGTGTTATTTGTGGTTCGAGGATTCAAGCTTTGACGTTTGTACTTTCAGGATATTTCGCGATGGCTCCGGAGAGTAGCACTAATTAAGATCCTAAAGCATCAACTGCCTCATACATGTTTCGCGGCTGTGCCTCTTCTTATAGAGCAGCTCCTCGCCGCACTCCAGGCACTTGCATCCTTTTCCATGGGCATTGCCCCAGTTCCGCGTGCGGCTGTGGGAGCAGTTCCTGACTCCACCTTTGCGATGGGACAGACAAGAAACTGTTAACTCGAAGAGCGAAATAGAAGCGCAGGCATCGTCATGAATCTTCTAATACTTGCAAGTCTTGCACGATACCAAGCTCAACTCATCTCGTGGCCTGTCTGATCTAGATCGCACTCAACTGGTGAAAACAACAGGTCACAACAATACAGACTGCAGGAGAAGGAAGCCTGTACCGAAGGTTCGAGACCCGAGGCTTCATCATGAATACCTAGACCCCAAGCGGTTGGAACTCCGGCGGTGCATCCATTCGACCTCGGATCCATATGAGCAATGAAACTGGCCTAAACTTCAAGCCCTTCCACGCCCCACCATTTCTTATACCGCCAAAAAACCCAAACACCAAATGCTGGACTGCTCTGCTCGTGCCGGGCGTCTTGTCTTCGGCGCGAAGGCGTAGTTTCGATGTCGACTCTGCTGCAGCGCGATGCGCAAGTTTGCCTGAGCTGGGTTGGTCTGCACTGAAGCCCACTGTAGTGGTTGGGCTGATAGGCACTCGTTCGAAACATAAAAATGGAGCACCCTAGAGCTAAATCCGAACCCATCAACCCGAAGCCTTACATCCCAATCATCCAAGGCTCATCCCTGCAAACCCACTAGCTTAGGGCTAAGGGGTTATGGTTTGAGGGGCCTCCTTCGAACGACAGCGAACCCAGGGGATCAGACTGTAGACCAGGGCTGCAGTCTTGAACCCCAAACCTAGAGCTTCAGCCCGGAGACCCCCCAGAATCTCAAAGCCCCCCTTCACCAAGCAAAGTCAAATCTATGCGTGCCAGGAGTCCATCTCACGATTCAGCTGCTCTGTCCTCGGGTTTTTCGGGTTTGAGCTTCGGACTTCAAGAAGTCCAGTGGCCCAGTGGCTCAACATTTAATCTGAGAGAGGTCGCGGATTTAGGGATTGTGAACGAGTTAGGGACTCAAACTTGATTGAATTGTCAAGGTTCCGGAATTTCGCAGCGAGGGCTGCGAATCTGACTCAAGCGCCTCTACGACGGCAGTGTGTCAGCGGTCGTCATGGGATCCTACATCCGGAACCCGGACGTGTTCCGTTCAGCAAGTTTGCTGTGCAGATTTTTTCGAAACAGGATACGAGCTCGACAAACAACTCCAATAGCTTCTAAAAAACCAAGCCTTCCGGCGGGGTAGACACTGGGTCCGAATCGTATGAAGCATACCATGTTTTTTGGGCTCCCCGGCTTTGCAGACAAGACTCTCTGATTGATGCTGCTCCTGCCTCGAGCGGCTCTCTTCCTGACCAGCACAACTAACATAGGGGCTTGCGCAATTCTGCAAAATCGGTATTCGGGGTATGGCACACAAGTACTACGTATAACAGGGAACACTGAACCATTCGCACAATAAGTGCACGATTTGATCAGTTGATGACTATAGGGTTTGCAAACTGCACAGTTGGATGCATGAGGAATATGAGCTACGCTTTGTGAAAACGTTTACAAACGGTGATGAAGTTCATTGACGCACACCAGAATGCTCGAAACAGAATATAGCCCTGCATCAAAAAGACGGTATTGTACGCAATCCACCGAAACCACGCACTACTTGTGTCTATCTTGTAGCAATCTGAATAGGTCCAGATCTGACATGTCCGATTGAAGCAATGTCTGCACGGCACCATCTCACTCACCACGAAAACTCTGATCTGCTTCCCCGAAGACTCTGTATCCGATCTTCTGTTAGCATCTGATCTCACACTCAAAGGCACCTGGCAGCCACAGCGCGGAAGTCTTAGCACTCTGCCCCCGTCCCATTTCTGCAGATTTTAGCCCTGCACATGAAACCTCAAACAAAAGCTTGGCCAGATCCCACCTTCTCTTGTTGCAGCTGCCTCTCCAAGATGTCCCTCTCCGCCTCGCGCGAATGTCGTGTTTGAGGGCCTACCCTTTGGGGATTTCGGGGCCTGAGTTCTCAAGGTTGCGCACGTTGCCCTTCCAGACATGTGCGTTTGGGCACTGGCCCACCTTGCTAGCCCGTGCTGTTGCCACACTGAGGGACGATGTACACGTATATACCGTTGTCTAGCTTCGAGTTCTACCGTCCGTAATTTCTAATTTATCAACATGAAAACTTTCATCTCCGCAACTTCTCAATTGTACATATACATTGAAAGTTCATATTTCCGTAATTTGTGGCCAAAAACAAGAAGTACGAAACAACTTTTGTGGAAACCTGAACTCATAAACACAATTGAAAACCATCTTTTTGGACTTCTAAACTTTAGATGCCAACTGAAAATCTTCGTTTGTAGACACAAAATTAAAGTTTATATTTCTGCCGTAACTCATTCGTATGTATATATATATATATATATATATATTTTAAAACTTCTATATGATGTTTTGACCGCAGGATACAAGTTGAAAACGGAATTGAGCAGAGACTGGGCTCGTTGGGATTTGTATTGAACTGGGAGAGTGGCTGCAGCTGGACTAGCCCATCGGCTGGGCCAGTTGGTGGCGGTGCGAAGCCTTGAGCCTAAACACCATGCCCATAAAACCTCAACCAGCCTCTTTTTGACACATGAAATCATAATTTATCTATCTTAATTGTCTTGATTTTTGTTCCGAAACTAGAATATAAACATCACTACATACATGTATTTCTATAGCTCGAGCAACATCTTTCTGTTTTTCGGGTGGCGGACACTGCACGACTCTGCTGCACCACCACACAGGGCACACACCTGCTACCGTTGAATAAGGGGGATAGTGGCTGAATTATCTGTATCCTGCTGTTTTGCCGTTTATGTGCTTAGTTATTGCTATATGTGCTGGCATTGCAAAAAGGGTCTTGACATTGAACTTGAATCTCGAGTGGCCAGGGGAAAAAAAGAAAGAGCTTTTTATCTTTTTTCCTATTTTGTAGTTACAGGAGGATATGGGCTTGTTGATTTCAGCATTTGATTCCAGACGTCGATAAAACGGAATGCAAGCGATTTGTAACATGCCTTTTTCGAGCATGAGGTCTGACACGAATCAATACGTTTGCAGTGCACTCTGACCTGGGGCTGGGGCCACGGTACAGTTCTGTCACTGGTCTACACGGGACCCAAATGCTTAAGTCTGCACCGGGCAGCCCGAGGTCGTCTGACAAAGTCTTGCGATTCTTCAACGGATTGTGCAATGTGCAGCCTGTGTCTGACTCGTCTGACGATGTGGGCTACTGCCGTAACAAACGATCTTAGCAGCGATTCATTTCATAACGAAACATAATACGAGTTGAGACCCAGGCTGCACTTAAATCTGCAAGAGGCACGGATCGGAACCTGAAAGAGGACGATACTCGTCGTCCTTCAGGCTCCGATCCGCGATTCAAGCATGCAACGAGTGCGCCTCAGACTTCTGAAGCGCACCCCCTGCATGCTTGAATCACCTCCCTTTGGGCAAGTGATTCACAAGAGCAAGAGGGGCCATCCTCTGAACGGCACCTCTTGCTCTTGTAAATCACTTTCGGCACCTTGACAGAATTACTTGAACCAAGCATTGACAACCATGCGGATGGCCTTAACTCCGTCATGACCACCTGGCCGTCCGCGTGGCCTTGTCTAACATGGTGACACGTGGACAACAAGGCCCCACCTCTTTTGGAGCTCCAGCTGGTCATTACTGAGTGATGACCAGCCGGAGCTCCACAGGAGGTCATGGAAACTCCTGGGCCGAATCCAGGTCGGCATTTGCGATTCGGAGGTCATCTGATGGAGGCTTCTGAAGATATTATTACCGAGGGAGAAGCTTTAGTTGCACGACGTCGCCTGGATTCAGGAGCTCAGTGCACAAACAACCCCGGCGGTCCAGCCTCGGTGATTCACCGAGGCTGGACCGCCGGGGTTGTCGTCCTACTACAGCGCACAAACAACCCCGGCGTTCCAGCCTCGGTGATTCACCGAGGCTGGAACGCCGGGGTTGTCGTCCTACTACAGCGCACAAACAACCCCCGGCGGTCCAGCCTCGGTGATTCACCGAGGCTGGACCGCCGGGGTTGTCGTCCTACTACAGCGCACAAACAACCCCGGCGGTCCAGCCTCGGTGATTCACCGAGGCTGGACCGCCGGGGTTGTCGTCCTACTACAGAATTAAATTTCACCAGGAGACAGCCCGGACGTTAGATAGGCCGAGAACTGCCCGTGGCGCATGCGCAGCACTCCACTAAGCAGCTCACCTGCATGGTCTGACGTAGTATCAACACAGCCTCAGCTAGTCTTTATTAAATTTGTATTACAGATGGGTTCTGACCAAGTTCGGTCGAGCTCAGTGGACAGATTCTCCAGACCACATGCCACAAAGCAGCTCCCCAATAGTCTTACCAATTAATTTTATGAAAATGACCTGCTGCTGAACTGCAAACTGCAGGGCGCACTTGCTGTAGACTGTAGACCTGCATCATGTCGGCTGGTGGTCTGACTTGACAACAGCCTCAACTTCGGAACGGTGGCTCACAGCCGTTGTCAAACGCGACAGACTCCTGAATTAAAATAACAGAACCAATGAACTTACACGATACTGACTAGAATTAATCACAGTACAGCTGTAGCCATCTGACGGAGTCTTCGCGGCGGCACGGTCTGACGGAATCCGCAGTGTCCAATAAGGACCCAAAACAGTCAGACGACTTCTGGTTCCCCAAAGCCTACTCTTAAACTTACTAGTTTACAACTGTACCCACAGTCTTACCACACACTGGCTGGTTCCGTGATCTAGATATGCTTCTACTCTTGCTACTACTACCACTAGTGCCTACTTAGGTACTACTACCATCACCACTTCTTACTACTACGATTGCTACTAAGACTACTACTGCTACTACTACTGCTACTACTACTACTACTGCTACTACTACTACTACTGCCTACTCCTAAGTATTACAACTACTACCAAGTTGCTGCTACGACGACTACTACCGCTACCGCTACCGCTACCGCTACCGCTACCACTACCACTACCCTACTACTACTACTACTACTACTACTACTACTACTACTACTACTACTACTACTACTACTACTACTACTATACTACTACTACTACTACTACTACTACTACTACTACTACTACTAATACTACTAATAACTGTATAATGCCGGAGACGAACATCGTCTTACCAACAAGAATAACTAAATAACAGCAGCAATAGTTTGACTTGCGTAACACTACGCAACCCAAAACCCGAAACCCTAAGCCCTAACCCAAACCCTGCACACTGCTGGCTATTTGTTTGGTCGAGATCAGTCCTGTTTCGGATCGAAGCTAGCTTTGGGTCAGAGGGGGGTCGGGGCTTTTGGATCCTGAATATGGACGTCGGTTTTGGGCTGTAGTCTGGAGTCTCCAGGAGAGTGCTTCTGAGGAGTGTTTGGACGAATGATGAGTATGGACTGGTGGGGGGGGCGACATGCTAAACCTGCGATCAGTAATATGAATACAGAAGACTTTGAAAACAACGCGGGTCATTGAAACCATGTCTTCTTTCGTCACGCGCGCACGCCTGTGCATCTCCGCCATTGCCTGCAGTGATAAAGCATGTGAGGTCTCTGTGGCCAACTGAGGCGATGAGCTTCCGCATGATCGGCTGAAAGTTTTTGGATTCTGTTCTATCAATGCGCAGACGCACATGTGTGCAGCCAGCTCGCCTCATGCAGACTAGCCGCCGGTGGCTACTACTACTACCTAATACTACTACTGCTACGACTACTTACTAAAGACCAAGACGACTACTACTACTACTAGTACTACTACTACTACTGCTACTACTACTACTACTACTACTGACTACTACTAGACTACTACTACTACTACCACTACTACTACTACTACTACTACTACTACTACTACTACTACTGACCCACTTACCTACCCTGTGCGACTATACTACTACTTTATTAATTGCTACTGCTAGTGTCATTAATAAATGCTCCTAAATTTGCTTTCGATCTCTAAGGTTTATGGGTCATCTGACTGAATCCGGTGCTTGCTGCGGAAAAGTTGGCAACTTCAGTAAGTTGCGGTCTTACAATGGCTCAGACATATGGCCCAACGCATCCCATGAAGCAGCCACACCTTTGGTGCTGCGCTTCCTGGGATGCTTTGTGCCCCATGCACAACTTCTGACAACGAGGACCAGCAGTAGTAGTAGTCTTACAAGTTTAGTTTATGCAATAATATATACATATTATTTATTAAATTATTATTATAACAATTGATTCTTACGAAGCTTAATATCTTATTCTTGAAGCCAAAACCCCAGGCCGCCCCAAGCCCCCCTGCCTACCACCTCGGTCTAAGCCCCCAAAATCCTTAATTTTCAAACCTATTATTTAAAAAAAATTAATCTATTATTTACTTTAAAAACCATGTGCATCGCAGAGCCTTCCTCTGCCTGCCGCCGGCTGCCACGGAGCTGCACCACACCTGTGGCGAGGGAAGGCTTAGGTTTCAGGAAGTGTTTAAAAAGTTTGAAAAATTTTGGAAAAGCAAACGTTGCTATTTGCCTCCTGAAGCCCTGAAGCGCTTGGGATGCCGACGATCAGCACGACAAGGACTGCCATGATCCCGTTTATGGGACGGGCAGAGCCACGCCACCCCCCACACCAAAGAAAAAAAACCACCTAGTTGCTTGAAATTTGGACGGGGGACCGGGGGCGGTGTAGGGTTTGGCTTCTATTGATTATCTGAGTGTAGTTGGTTGTAGTAGTAGTAGTAGTTAATAGTAGTAGTAGTAGTAGTAGTAGCAGTAGTAGTAGTAGTAGTAGCAGCAGTAGTAGTAGTAGTAGTAGTAGTAGTAGTAGTTACTTAGTAGTAGTAGTATTAGTAGTAGTAGTAGTAGTAGTAGTAGTAGTAGTAGTAGTAGTAGTAGTAGTA